TACAGTATATAAAGGAGAATTTTCAGGAAGACTGGCTTTATACACAGGTTGACTAAAAACCGGGGCGTTATCGTTAGCGTCTAAGACAATTACATGCACGGTAGTCGTGCCACTTCTTTTAGGACTGCCCCCATCCAATGCAGTAAGTAGTAATCGGAATTCCCGCTGTTCCTCGCGATCCAATTCCTTTTGCAACACTAGTTCAGCAAATCTGCCTCCATCTAATTTAGTCTGCATTTTCAGCACTAGATAACTGTTAGTCTGCAACACATATCTTTGAACAGCGTTTTGTCCAATATCGAGATCGTGTGCTTCCAAAATACGGAAACGGGATCCCTTTACAGCCAATTCATTGATTTCTATTTTTATTTCGTCTTTCGCAAAAACAGGTTGATTGTCATTGATATCTTGTATTTGTAATGAAATTCGATGTAACACAAGTGGCGCCTCTAAGACCAATTCAGATTTGAGGATGCAAGATGCCTTTTCGCCACAAAGAGCCTCTCTATCAATCCTCTCAGCTACAATTAAATCGCCAGTGCTTGGATTTATGTCACAATACCGTTTACGGTTCAGATCGCTGTCAATGCGGGCCTTTCGAACAGATAATTCCCCCACGTTCAGTCCGAGGTCCCTTGCTACATTTCCTATGACAGATCCGGTCTTCATTTCCTCGGGAAAAGAATAGCTCACATCTCCATAGCCGAAGAGAAAGGATTGAAGAAAGAAAGCAAAGCTGTATAGCAGGCCCGCCACCGAATTTCTACTGTGTGCCATCTTTGGACAAAAAATACAAAGAAAAACACTCGAAAACGTTTAACAGTCCAAACTGTATCAGTGCGACAACAAGTGCGCTCTTTTCACATCAGTTATAATCGAAAATATTTCCAGAGAATGGTGGACAAAAGCACACCCAAAGGGACAGTTTCACAATGACAAGACTGCATTAACACTAACAAACCAAGAGCTATGGATGGAGGTATGTTTCCACTGCTGGTAAACAGCGACTCTCTGAGTTCATATGCGTTGTCTGCACGTGAAATATTTAACTTGCAGACAACGCATTGATTTCCTTTATGACCACAGCACACACAGCACACTTCTTTAAAAAAAAAAAGGGGGGGGGGGG